GATAAAAATATAAATTTTCATAATCGATCTATTTAAAATCACATAAAATAGCACTATACAGAAGTTCGATTCAACCGGGATTCATAAACAACTTTGCAAAATAATGTGATTTTTATATTCCTACGTCATATGCCATAGTTAGGTTGTAATTATTCAACTTAATGGTTTTCAAGCTTGTAGTGATAATGGTATGTAACTTTAAATGAGTTATATATATTTTTTCGTTCGATAAATGTTTATATTAAGATAAAAAATTGAAAAGACCTATAAACTGATTAAACCAAAGCTTGGTTTATACTACGTTAATCCCTTTTCAAAGTTTGATGGTAATAAAGATTAAGTATTGAGAATGCGATCTAACAAAGTGAGGTAAGTCCAGCTGAACGATTGTTGAGTTTGATTAATTGGAGGGATGTATACCGAAGGAAATTTGTAAGCTGCATGATGTGTTATGATTTATGCTAATCTGCATGACTGGCTGACACATAGGATGTTAAGAAGTTTTGGAGATTTTTTTGCCCTCTTGATTTTTTAGAGTTTTGCTTTGATTAATCCGGACCGAACTGTATTCCACATTTGACTTTGATGGGTGAATCTCCCAACGAAAATTTTCTGCATATGATTTTCTAGTGAGGCATATGGTAATCTTATATAAACAATAAAAGTTAAATTTTGGTTAGCCAAAAAAAAAGTGTTAAACCAGTAAGAAAACATAGTGAAAGAACAAAAAAATGAATAACATCAAATACCAAAATGCCATAGAAGCGAAAATAAAATTCCTCTACAGAAATCTCTTAGAAGAAAGACAACCAGTTGCAGTAACGCTCACATAGCAATGATCCCAACATATCCTCCTTGGATAGAAAGAGTCAAGGAACGCACCAAACAAATGTTATACAATTCACAGCAAGACTTCAGAGCAATACATTACCGATTAAACAACAGGAATCAAATAAATCAATCGACTAAGGAAAATTCATGAAAATCCACCCCTTTTATATCCTACCATCGTCCAGCTCCAAAACAAAAGTTATTCTCTCAATCGACCAGAAAAATCCCACCCTTGAACAAAGCATCCGATAAATTAGAACATCACAAAAGCAAGCACAAAACACACTAGAAACACGATTCTATTTAATTCATTTGAGTAACTAAACAAGATAATCTCCTTGCACTGAAAAGGAACCTTTAGGAAAGATAACTGAATCTACGAAACTACTATCCCAGAAAACGCACAAATAAATGCAGCAAGCTTTTGATTTCTACTCGCACCCACCCTTCATTCGTAGCAGAATCCAAGAAATGGAACATCACCCTTCAACAGTTCAACCTCATCAATTCTCATCTACATACACCATAATCAAAGCATACATCATTATCAAGCCTTCTCTAATCCACCTAACTTAATCCTATGAGTTGTATATGTTTGGACTGAATTTCATGTTATGCTATTTTGTGCCATGACCAAGTAAATGGCATGGGAGATATTATGCATGATGTTTTAACTTGCAATGTGTATGGTGCGTTCAGGTAAGCTTTGCAAAAGATATAAAGTATGAATGCTTGCTTGAATTCAATGGAATAGTGAGAGAACCCCTTTTTTGCACCAAATATTCCTAGCATTCCAAAATTTGATCTAAAATGATTTGATATTGAAATTTTCTTTTACATGTGTAAATACTTGCATAAGATGGTCCCCAACTGTTTGGGGGCATGATGAGGAACAAGTTAGGCATATTTTGAATTAAGCTAAGTTGTTAAACTTTTGTATGCTGGTGCAGTCGTATCAATATCATAAAAAATGTATAGATACTATGTGTTAGATATTGATACTTACAATAAAGTATTGATATTAATATTCAAGTATAGATACTTAGTTTTATTTATTTTTTAAAAATTTTGAAGTTTAAAATAATAATGATATTAAGTTATGGGTATCAATACATCATGCCAGATATAGATATTTAATTATATTTTTTAAAAATTAGTTATTAAAATCCTAATGTCATGCCCTCAAAACCTTCCGCCCAAACTGTCACAATATCATAGTGAATGTCTGACGGGACGTGCGTCCTTAGATGCTTCTTGACACTTCTGGGTCTTCTCTCCGACTAAGTAAGTCTTACACAATCCTAATGAGCATGCAAACTCACTAAGGTTGGAACCAGTCCCTCAAGGCTTCTAGGATGCGGAAGCTTTAACACTAATATGGCAACTCCAAGCCACCAAGGTTGGACTATGATGTGGAAGTATAAACACAAGTGTGACTACTCCTAGCTACCAAGAGAGACAACAAGCGCAAAGAGAATAAAAAACAAAAAACACAAGAACTAGAGTAAATGCCTCAGAGTTTTATTCCTAGTTGAAGCTTGCTGTTGCCTTTTGTTTTTAGATAGGGAGGATGATGAGCTGATTGAGTCAAAGAGCATGGAAGGTGTTGTTGAACCAGGAGCAGGGTGGATGTTAAAGCTAGCTGAAGCAGTTGGAGTTAACTAAGACAGTTAGTGTGGTTATTTGGGTGTTGAGCTGTTATGGCAGCTGTTCTAACTGATTGGACACTGTCAATTTGGTTAGTTAGATGGTGGGCTATATAAAAAGGAGTATTGGCTGGCCCAGAAGTTAAGTTTTTTCTGATGGCCTACATTCTAAATATATACGCTTATATTTTTCTCACTTTCATCAGAGTTTTGTTGATTTTAGCTCTGCAGTGCTTTGTTCATTAACCACAAATATAACTTCTTATCTTATTAAAACTACCTTATCTTTTTTTTCACTAAGAGTGTAATATATCTTATTATTACATCCAATACTTGTTTATATTTATTTAATTACGACAAATAATTGATAAAATGTAAATTTAAACATATAGTTATATTTTATATTTTCTTTTATATTATATATAATAAATTATTTCTTTAGCATAAAAAATGAATGGATATGGTGATTTTAAATCAAACGGGGAGGACGAATGATAGGAGTTGTTAAGAAATACAAATACGTGTGAAAAAAGACAGCAAAATAGGAGCCATATATAGAACCATTAGTCAGCTCAATACTCTTCTATTTTCTTATAGGTACACTACCCCGCAAAAAGATCATGGTTTGGATACATGTGTACTTGGTTCTCATTTTGCAACCACAGCTAAGGGATAACAACAAATCAAATCAATATTCAAAAGATTCTCATGTAAGGGCATGACCCTAGAATTGAGACACGTTCATGTGTCAATTATATATATGAACATTAATATTTTGGAGATAAATGCTCGTGAAATTCACTTATTCAAGAAGAACTGTTTCACGAGCATATTTAAAGATATATTTTGGAGATCGTTTATTGTTATGCTGATCGAAATTAATCATAAAAGATGTATTATAGTTTTAACGACCCTTAGACGTGATTGAAATTGATTTTTTAAAGAGTTTTGTATTATGGAATTGTGTAGTGTTTGAGAGCTTTATTTTGTTGCACGGTTTTGTATTCATTTGAGTAACTTTTTTAGAGTTATCATCACTGCGTTGACCATCATTAGGTAAAAGCAACACTAATGAATGTGTTTTAATATATTAATTAGTTTAAATTTAAAGATATTAGAGGTGTTTTGGTTCATCAAATTTAAGATTTTTTTTACAAATTTTAAATCTAATCTTAATTCTATCTAAAGGAGAGGGAAAGAGTAGACCCAAGGGGAAGGAAGATGAGTATTTTTAGTGGATTTAGAACTCGTTACCTAAAGAAATATGAAAGAATAATGATAAGTAACTTGATCAACTGATCAAATATACTTGCTTCAAATTTATGATTATTAATAATATTCTTATATTTCAGAATCACATTTACAAGTTTGGGTGAAAAATATTATCTTAGGTAGGTAATTTGATATTATCAATAGTGCCAAATTTGGTAATTTAGTGGATTATCTCATATGTTGGATTGTCAAAAAAAAAATCTTCATATTCTTTTAAAAATTATATTTTAGAAGATTTTCCGTATAAAATAAATGCACTCTAGAACTCTCTACTGATATTCCAAAAGTTTCAATATAATGTTGCTCTTAAATTTATAAATCGATTTGACGCATGGAAGACAAGGAATAATTGTGTGGGCCTCAAAGATAAAGATGTTTGAATGTGAAGTACTATTGGGAAAGTACCATTTCACATGTTTAAATTGTTAAAGTAATTATTATTATTCTTAAAGGTTATGAATTTGAATATCAATGACTGTAAGGTGATTAAATGTTTATTGTCAAATAGTTGATAGTACTTAAAACATATATTATTTTATAATCACCTTTAACTTAGTAAAAAAATAACTTCATATAATCAAATAAGTAGTTCTATTAATCCTTTTATAGTAAATGATTAAAATAAAATTAAAATATAATATCAAGTATAATTTATAATAAAAATAATTGAATGATAAAATGAAATAAAAATAATAGTTGTATTACTAAACATGTGGTTTACCTATAATCTTCTATGGGTTTTATTACTCTTTCTATCATGAAATAAAACTCTAAAATTCATGGAATTATTCTGAAAATATTATGTGGAAATATTTTGGTAAAAGTTGATGGTTTATTTTGTTAGCGGAGAAGTCGTAAAAGTTTAGCCATAGTTTTGAGAAATAAATTCTACAATTTCTGGTCAAAATTAGATTTGTGGACGAGAATTATTGGATAACTTTTTAGCATTAAAGATTATTAATAATTTAATATTTTATTTTATAAATAAAAGAATACGGTTCATATCATCTCCCAACAATCCTTAAATGAAACTGTATATATATATATTGTCGCCATGCACGGTGGATATTCGATCCAGATATGTTTTGGTTGAATAATTCCATTTGTGGTTTTTGTCCCTGAAATTATATTTTTAAGCTCTTGGTTTTTTAGAATGAGAATGAAAGCCGGAAATATTTTTTTAATAAAAAAGCATACATATTTCAGTCAAATAGTTGCAATTTACACACTGCGCTAGCTGAGCTCTAGCTAGCTTATTTTCCTAGAATATTTATATACGGTCAAGATGAGATTTATAGAGACAAAATACCATAGCTAACAGATTCCTATATTAAGAAAAATACCATAGCTCATAATTTAAGGATAATGGCTTTTTTTTAGACTCATCTGATGCCATGTTCTGCTATTATCAGTTCTCTATCTGTGCCTGGGGTGCACTTTGACCTTCAGTGGGTTAGCCATTTCACAAGAGAGCCTGAGGACTTCACCCAGATCGACCGGATGGTTATCATTTGATGCCACCCACTTAAACTCGTGCAACAAGGTGCCCACCCAGAAGGTAACAGTGGCTAAGCCCAGTGTCTTTCCGGGACAACTCCTACGGCCGGAGCCAAACGGCGACAGCCTGAGGTCAGACCCCAACACGGAGAACTCCACGTCACCACTGTCCTTGGACACGAATCTCTCTGGCATAAACTTAACTGGGTCCACCCAAACATCGGGGTCCCTTGTGATGGCCCACATGTTCACCATGGCTGTGGTCCCCGCAGGCACGTGATATCCATCAACAGTTGTGTCTGAGATTGCTAAACGGGCCCATGATAGAAGTGGGCCAGGCGGGTGAAGCCTGAGAACCTCCTTCACCACCGCCGGTAGGTAAACCGTCGATAGAACGTCTGATTCCATCAACGTTCGTGATCCCCCAACAACTTCATCAAGCTCAGCCTGCACTCTTGATTGGATTTCAGGGTGAAGCACCATTCTCGCTAGTATCCACTCGATTAAAACCGCCACAGTATCGGTTCCTCTGAAGATCATCTCCTATATAATATGAATATAGCATGACTAGTTTAAAAAGTAATTTTTTTTAATAAAAGGGAATAATGGTACGTTTGGTTACTTAAAAGTCCTTGGACAAGCTAAGAGCTTGTATTATTATAGGAATCTAATCAACAAATTGTTCCCCCAAATCATTATCAAGATTCCAACATAGATAACTCCTGCAAGAAAAAAGGTAAATTTCCTTCTTTATGAAATATCATGGCAATAAGCTTGTTTCTTACCCAAAGAACGGCAATCATATCGTTGTCCGAGAGTCTGTCAGGTCCATTGAAAGACAGTAAAACGTCGACAAAATCATGGTTTTTTGTTCCAGTTTGGAGTTTATGCTCCTGGATGATTTTGTTCACAAATTTATTCACTCTGGGAACAAGTTTCGAGCACCGAAGTCGGATTTTTTGAATGTCTAAACCAGCAAGCCATGGAAGATGATCAGACCAATTGAGTTTCCCCAGTAGATTGTAACCTTCTTCAACGAGCTGGCTGAGTTCTTCAGTTTCAATAATTGATGATCCCAGTTGATAATTAGTGCCAAACACCGAGCACATCATGTTGTTAAGGGAAGCTTTCTTGAGTATATCGCGTACCGAAAATTCTCCACGATGACATGCAATTATAGACACCATTTGAGATGCGATGTCCAGCCTTTGTGCCTCAGTGGAGCTGATTTGTTTAGGGCAAAACAGATGTGTTGCAGCGATTCTTCTTAGTGTTCGCCAGTAAATACCACAAGGAGCGAATCCGATTGCTCTGTTGAACATTAAACTATAAGCTGACTCTTTCACCGGACGATCGGCGAAAACAGAACTGTTAAGAATCTCCTTGGCAACATCAGGATTGCATGTAACGATAACCCGTGTTTCACCCAAGCTAAAAGCCATGAGCCGCTTGGCACCAAAGGATTTAGCTGCAGCGGAGAGCTTGCGGTGAGCAAGGTTAACCATGAGATTCATGCTTCCAACAATGGGAAGCCCTCGTGGTCCGGGAATGGTGTTATATGGTTTTGTGGCAACAGCTCTGTTGGTCAGCCAATTACACTTACCCCAAGCAGGACCTCCAGGGTTGAACCAGAAGCACAAGGTCATAGCTAACCAAGCCATGCAAAGAAAAATAAGAAGCAAAATGGAGCTTTGGGAAGAAAAATATTTGCATTTGGATGCAAGAAATAAAACCCAGAAGCAATCTGAGTGTGTCTCCATGGAGAAGGAAAAGATTTGATGTTTGTTTCTATGAGTAAATGGTATCCTTTTTTGGGTTAAACTAAGAAATGGGATACTTGGTTTATATAGAATTTTTTTGTATTAAGAGATCTTATACGTAGATATGCATATATTTTGTTTTTTTTAATATGATAAAAAACATTTTATTCTTTAAATTGTTTCTAGAAGTAATTAAATAATTTAAAATGTACAAAGAATATAAAAATTATATATAACTCATTTGGGATTTATACAAAAATATAAATTAGTATAGACGAAATACAAGCATATTGAAAAAAACACATAGTATATAAGGAGCGATAATAAGAGGTTTTGAATTCGATTAGTATGTATGTAGGATGATATACATTTTTAATAATTTTTTAAAAAATAAATAAATATTATCTTATAATCATTTAGATTATTAGAAAAAATTACTATTTTTTAATGATTTGTTTTTAGTAAAACAGGAAGTTAAATAGTTAATCGTCACGCAAAAAACTGATAAGCAGCTAAATAATACAATAGAAGCTAATTTGATGAAAAAGTTAAATAAGTTGCTTAAGTCCACGTGGGACTTTCAAGTCCGAACGCCATGAGTTGAATTCATTCTCGATTTCCCTTTTTCTTTCTCCCTACTCACAAAGCTTCATTTAATGAGTCGACGCGTCTAAAGACTAAGGTCCCATGAAAGGGGTTAAAGGCTTTGGGAAAAAGGATTCTAATTGTGTTGTCTCAATCATGTGCCCTTAACAGCAAGGGACATTGTTGTCATATTCGAACATTAAAAACAATACATCCACTGAGTCATTTCTCCCGAGCCCTAATTTAAATGCACTCTCCGGCAATTTGTCCAACTTGGTCAAACTTCAAGCTGATTATTGGGAGTTTAATAGGCTCATTTAAAGTAACATTGTAATATATATTTTTAAAATACGTCTTTTATAGATTTCTTGATATTTGACGGGTTAATCGAACTTTTTATCTTTATTTTCTTATATTCTTTTAGATAACGAGTTCTAAATTCATTAAGAATACTATATTTCCTCCCCCTAGTTCCTCCTTCCTCCTTCCCTTCCCCTCTAGGCTATAGGTAAAATAAGGATTAGATTGTTAATTTATCAAAGATTTCTCAATATTTTTGAAGAGTTAATTGCATCACATGACCTCAAAGTATTATCTTAATTTCAAATTGGTCCCTAAACTTTTAAATATTTTAATTTTATCTCTAAACTATGAATATCGTTCTAAATTAGTCCTTAAACTTTTAAATATTTCAATTTCATCTCCAAACTATGGTCTTCATTCTAAGTTGGTCCCCAAACTTTTTGAACATTCCAATTTTATCCTAAATTATACATATATACTAATCACATCCTTAATAATAAAGTTGTTACGCCAAGTTATATTATTATATGTTCGAAAAAAATTAGGTTAATCTTTGGTTAAAACTAATTACATATTTGGATGAATTTGAGGATGAAATTTGAATATTTAAAAGTTTAGAGAATAATTTAGAAAAAGTGTCATAGTTTAAGGATGAAATTATAATATTCAAAAGTTTAAAGATTAAGTTAGAACGAGAGTTATAGTTTAGGGTAAAATTGAAATATTTAAAAATTTAAGGATCAATTTAAAATAAAGATTATAACTTAGAGACACATGATACAATTAATTCTATTTTTAAGCGCATAACTTTTTTTATTTTAATATTCATACATTCCGTACCCAATGATCTATAGAAAAAGTATAAATCAAATATAATGCTAAGATCTCGATGCGACGATGTCCATAGGTTCAAAATAGTTGGATGCATGGGGCAATAAATGTAAAATGAAAAGACATTGGTGAGACCTACAAACCCAAATATCAAAGCAATTGATTCAGTAATTTATTAGTCTCATCAGTGTTTAGTCTATATATACCCTAATCTCTCTATTTAAATTAAAAATTTAAGTGCCAATAGTAGATCCATACATATTTTTATATAGAATGAACATAAATAAAATTTCATAATTAATATTATAAATAAAATAAACTATTAACATATAAAATTTAATACCCATCATCGACAAACTTGCATTAGTTACTGGATCCTGCAAATATATATATATATATAATTTCCTCCCTACTTTCTTTATCTACGCAATAACTCTAAAGGTACGTTTGGTTCACGGAATGTAAGATTACCAGTGGAAATAAAAGATTACCAGGGAATAAAATTACTGGGAATGTTGTATTTTGTGTTTTGTTGGTTTAGCAAGAATGTAAGATTACCGTGTTTGGTTAAAGGAATAAAAGATTATTAGAATGTATATTTGACCAAATTGTCCTTATTATATATTTTTATAATATTACAAATTGTAAAATATTTATATATATTTTTTAAAAAATTAAATTCATAATATTTATATAATTTCTTTTACAAAATTAAAAATATAAAAAAGGTTTAATGAAAGGTTAAAAAAAATTTAACCCCTGAACTTCATATAAAATTTTAATTATAATTTTTTTGTAAATCTAAAATAATTTAAAGATAAATTTGTAATTTAACTTCGTAGAATTTTTATTATTCAATGACAGAAGAAGGATATTTTTGAAAAAAAATAAAAATTTAAGGGCATTTTAGTCTAAAACGCCGGTAATGTTACAATACATAAGGGAAGGGAGGTAATGACATTCCCGGTAATATACCCCCAAAAAATCTACTATTGGTAATAAAAAATTACCGGGAATGAGATTCCCGGCCAACCAAACATGAGAATGTGGGATTCTCATCCCATGAAAATCCCACAATCCTTAAACCAAACACCCCCAAAGGCCTAAACTCCCACTTTCCTCTGCTTCTACTTTGACCTACACTCTATTACTTTAATCCATTGGTAAGATATACTTATTGAGGTTGTAAGCATAGACAACAAATTTTTTTTAACCGATTACAACATGCCACGTGTCAATTACAAATTATCATGTATCATAATGATGACATCACATACTAATTATTTTGTTTTCAAACTCTCATTTACTAATTAATTTAAATTAAAAAAAAATCATTGCCAACTGTTGGAGCTCAAGTTTTCTAGAAATTTTATATTAAGAAAATATGAAATCTTTATTTAAAGCTTAAAAATTCATTTTAAAAGTTGAAATGAATTAGAAAATAGATAAAAAAAAGATTACCTTAGATTGAAACTCTAAATTGGAGGAATTGGATAAAATGTGATTTTCAAAGTTATAAATTATGAAAATTAAAATAACAATTAAAGGAAGATTGGATAAGTTTTGAGTTATTTTGTTTTCTTCATAAAACTACAAAGTTTCACACATTCTTCATTTTATTAATTTTTATGAATTTTTCATTTACATAATTTAACATTTAACAAGTTCATGACATTTATTTAAGATTTTCTTAAAATTACTATTTTACCCTCCTATAATTATCATTCAAAACATTTCTCCTTTCTCCTTTATAATTAATCTTATCTTCATTTAGTTTTCTCAAACTCTTTTGTTGAGTCATCTAATGGATGAAATAGTCAAGAGGGTGTGAATTGACAAATAAAATTTTTAGTGGAAGCTTGAAGAGAAAATATAAAAATTGAACACAAGAATTTAGAGTGGGTTCGACTTTATAAACCAAAGTCTACATCCATTACCTTAGCTATCCACACTAAGGATTTTCACAAATTCACTAATTTGTAGCTACCTTTGAGGATAAGGTGTAACCTTACAACTCCGTCAAGAATTATACCCCAAATTATTGAGATACTTTCTCAAAGAGAAAATTACAAATTGCAAACTTATAAAAATCCCACTAAGAATGTGTTTGCACAATTCAAGAACAAATAAGAAAACTTGAGAAATAAATACAAATGAGTACAAAAAGTGTTCTTTGAAAGCAAAAGGAATATTGAAGAATGTTGACTTGATTTTGGCTCAAATTTGTTGCTTTTGGTTTTCACTTTGATCTCTTATCTTCACATATGACTTGGAATATTGTTTTTATAATCCCTCTATTAATTCTAACTGTTTGGGTTATTGTGGGAGTAAATAGAGTCGTTGGGAGGTAGTTTCCCACAATAAATGCTATCTAGAAGCTTATAGTATCAGTACTCGGGCTTTGAGTATGGATACTCCCTGTATTAAATACAAAATATAGCCGTTGGGGAAAGGTAGTAACGATATTGATACAAGGAGTATTAGTACTACTATAATAAGTAGTATCGATACTTGGACTAGTATCGGTACCAAATGAGTATACTAGAATTTGACAATTTTAAAAACAAAAAGGGTAGTATCAGTACTACCATGAGGAGTATCGATACTACTATGAAAAATAGTATCTATACTATTATGAAAAATAGTATCTATACTATTATACTTAAAAATGAAGTTTGGACTCGATTAAAGTTTGAAACCCTTAGTCAAATTTATTTCAAATTTATTTTCAGTATAAGACTCAATTTTTCAATAGAGTGAGGAGTAAAATAGAATTTTTAACCTTAAAAACAATTTATATATTCGAATGACCGAATCAAATATAATCTTAAAAATTTGTTAAAAACTATTTAACATTTTTGGTATATCAAAATATCAAAGCGTGTTTAACAATCTTCCCCTTTTTGATATAACAAAACATTTAAGAAATTTTAAGATTTTCTTGAAAAATAATTCTCTTTACTCTAACATTTCTCCCTCTTTTGTTAAATCAAAAAGTTTAAAAAATAAACAAGATAAATAACAAGGTTGTGAAGATCAAAAGTGCCAAACAATTTAGTCAACATAATCAATATCCATAGGCAATAGGCATGGTCATAACAAAAGTAAGCATGTCTCAAAATATCCGAAATATTATAAAAATCGCAATAAACATCCAAAGAGCATAAAAATCCATCAAACCATCCAAAGCATAAAATAAATAAAAATCCAAAATATCAAAGTGTAATGAAAGCATCAATGATAAAAGTCAAAGAATGATAGTGCAAGACCAACTTAAATGCAACTAGCAAAGCAAAAACGATCAGGCATCCAACAAAAGAGGATGATCAGGATTCAAAGGGGGTGCGCGGAAAG